AGCTGCCATCTGCCACATGTCCCCAAGCCCCCCCACAGCAGGAAGCTTGGGCAGCTGCTCCCCAAAACACCTCCCCCAGCAGAGCACCCAGCAGCCCAGTCCCCTACAGCACCCACCCCTCTCCCTGGGCCCTGGTGCAGCTTCTGCTGCTCCAACACCAGGCTGCAGAGACTACCCAGGAGGAGCAGAAACAATGAGCACGAGAGGCAGCTTTGGTTGTTTTTTTTTTTTTGCTGCAACGTGTTTATTATGTGCCAAAAACTACACCACAGCTTACTCCACGCGTCTGCAGGAGTGCAGTCTTGCCTGCATATACTACAATGAGGTAGAGACTTCACACACAGCTTCACAAAACCCCACAAAGAGCAGCTGGGATATGCAACGATGCAACATCAGCTCAGCAGGGGAAAAAAAAAAAAAACAAAACCAAAACACAACAAAAAACCACAACAAAACTAAAACAACCAAAGGAAAACCAAAAGAACAAACGAAAGAGGGAGAAATTATGACACTGGTTCTTTGGCACACAGCTTCCGATAGAGGGGAAAATAAAAAAGAAATTAACAGGAATTAAAGTTCTCAAATCCCAGCAGCAGCATCTCAGTCGACTGCACCGTTAACTCTGCACGTTTCATCAAGGAAAGGAAAGTACTTGTCCCCTCTAAGAGAAAGGGCTCCCAGGAACCTTCATCTGTCCACCAAAACGCAGCCCTTTTTTAGCTAGTTACAAAAGAAAAGTTAAGTCCTGTGACTTCATGTGATTAAAAACCTCTATCAACCCCCCTTAAGTGCAACTTAAAAAAGTGCAACAAACTATTTAAAACTATATACAGCAGCTCAGAGATCGTTTATCCGGTCCAGTTTCAAATCCAAAAAAGCCTGTCCTGTTCTGTTGCAAACCCCCTCGATTTACAACTCCCCAGCCAGCAGCCCCCAGACACAAATTGCAATAATGTTAAAAGCTGCCAGGAAAGAAAAAAATCTCTCGTTTCAAACGACTTAAAAACTGTTTTAAGAGTGTAAAAAGGAACTGGTAAAAACCCTCGAGCGTAAAATATGAAATATGATTTGGTTTAAATGAAGAGCAAAGTCTCCTTTGTTGTTACAGTAAAAAACGCCAGCTGAACATTCAGTTTATGCCGTTCAGATGGGGGTTAAATGAATGGGAAGGCACTGTATGGCAACGGGAAACAATGGAGCCAATGAGACCTGCAGGATCACCATCAGTATTGCAAGGAATGTAAAAAAGCGCCTTGAATAAATAAAAAAACCTCGGTGAAGGCATCTGCATCAACACCTTCTTAACACGTGGCCCTTTTGCTATTCATAGATATATCTTTTTCTGTTTTTTTTTCTTTTTTTTTTTTCTTTTGCTTCTCATCAGCAAACGAGGAACCAAAGTCTGGGAACTGCGGAATCGCTTGAGGGGCGCTCCCCTCCCCCCCCTCTGAAACCCCCCCAAACAAAACCCGACAAAACTCACTGTGCATTAGTGCAGAAACAAAAAGACCAGCAAGTGCAAACGTGAATGTAAGATTTTTGTTTGTTTGTTGTTGCCCCACCCCCACCCCGGTAAGTCCTCAGGAGGAGCGTTCCCAGCCCGGTCGGCACCAGCGCCGGGCGCGCTCCCTACTCGGCAGGTTGTTCACAAAAGGACTTTTCTCCTGCACCCGCGGCGACCCCCCGAGCTCTGGAGGCCCCTTTAGCTGGAGTCCCTGTTCTTCTGGTTGCGCATCAGGGGGCGGTGGTGGCGCAGAACCTCCATGGAGTGCTGCCAGTGCCAGCAGGAGCGGCAGAAGTACTTGAATCAGCTCTGGGGGGGGAGAGTCGAGGGAACGTGGTGTGG